AATTAGGACTTCTCAGATCTAAAGAAATAACTTTAAGACAGTTTACAGTTTGAATTGGGAAGAATAAAGAGTGAGAGTGAGTGATGTGTGAGTTGACTGATGCTAAAGCACTTACTTAGGAAGTAGTTCCCACTGGATCCACTGAAATTTACTCCCTAGTAAAAATGTTTGGGATTAGGTCATATATTTTTTAAGAAACTGCAGGAAGTTGTGCCATGTTGGAAGGAGAAGTAGTTAATTTAGGAGAAGAGATTTGCATGCACCTGTTAACGACCGCTTAAACTGGATACACAGATACATACTGTGGTTCCTAATACATATTTGTATTTCTGTTGTGTTCTTTGAGTGTTTATTATAAAAGAGTAGTGGGTGCCAGAATTCTAAAATTGGCCCCTTTAGTGTTAGGCTGAAAAAACTGCCACTCGGAAGACACTGGCTGGGTTCATTGGCTGCTTTGTGCAGTCCCGGCCAGCGTTCCAAGGTCATTTACATATGGAAGCTGATTGGACTACACTCCATTCCACACCTAAAACTCACCCCCCCCCCAAGGCAGTTGGAATTTTCAGTTGGGAGAGGAGAATGATGTCAGCTGCTTCCTAGGCAGAGGCTGTGTGTGTGTGTGTGGAGGGGGGAGTTGTAAAGACAGACAAGCAGATAAACGTTGGCTGATGGTTGCCAACTCCAGGTTCAAACTCCAGGACATAGGGTTGCCAACTCCAGGTTGGAAACTTCCAGGATATTTTAGGGATGAAGCCTGCTGAGGGTGGGATCTGAGGAGGAGGAGGAAGAGGGGGACCTCAGACAGATACAATGCCATGCTGCCCACACTCCAGACAAGCTGTTGCCAGTCTCCAGGTGACAGCTGGAGAGATCTTAAAGCTTTGGTGCTACTTCAAAGTTCCCCAGGAGCCCAAAACAGAGAAGTGTTTTGGAAAATCTTGAGGAATTGTTTGGTGCATTTACGATGGGGCTCCTGGGGAACTATTGTTGCCAATCTTGGCCCAGCAGCCATCAAACCATTCTCTTCAACCCCCTGCTGTGCAGCTGACTTCCCCCTAGGGTTGCCAATCTCCAGGTGGGACCTGGAGATCTCCCACTGCTACAATTGATCTCCAGATGACAGAGATCAGTTCCCCTAGAGAAAATGACTGCTTTAGGAGGGTAGACCCTATGACATTATACCTGCTGAGTCCTTCCGCCCCCCCCCCGCCCAATGCTGCCCTCTACAGAATCCACCCCCCAAACCTCCAGGTATTTCCCTCCTTAGAGCTGGCAACCCTACATTCCCCTCAGTGCCTGTTGGGAGTGGGTGGTGGGGGAGGGGAAGGGAGTGGGCGACCGGAGGCTTCTGCCTCCTGTCTCCGGTCCTGGAGTGGGGGTGGTGGAAACGGACCCGGCAG